TCCTTTCCCATCTAGTCTTGGAAATTACACTGTCCCTGTAGTCTCATTCCACTTGCTAGAAGCCAGTCAGTAAGTATGGCTCACATCCAAGGGGAAGTAGATTAGTCTCTGTCTCTTAAAGAAAAGCATACCAAGAATTGAAGGGTATATTTTATTTTTTTATTTTTTTTTTTTTTATTTTTTTTTTTTTTGAGAATTTTTAATATTTATTTTTTAGTTCTCGGCGGACACAACATCTTTGTTGGTATGTGGTGCTGAGGATCGAACCCGGGCCGCACGCATGCCAGGCGAGCGCGCTACCGCTTGAGCCACATCCCCAGCCCTGAAGGGTATATTTTAAAACCACCACACCAGGTGTTCTCTTGGCCTCCCCACTGATTGAGAATGTGGTCTTCCCTCCAGGACTCCTCTGGGCATCCACATTTACTCCTGCAACTTGACTTTTTCTCCTGGAATTCTCCCTTCAGCTTTCTCCTAAATTTTCCAGTCCATTGAAAAGTCACAGAAAGTTGAGAACAGAAAAGGGAACTTGAAATGATCCCAGGATCTCAGGATCTGGATAGACTCATCTGCCTCGTTTGTTTCTGCTGCAGGACTAAAATTTGACATCTCTGATTCTTCTCAAGTGGGGGTTGCTGCAATCTTTTTAGCAGCTTCTCCACGATACTGTCACAAATCTAATAATGAAATCATGCTCAGTACCCACTGAATTTAACCACATGACCTTCTCAAAGCCTAACTTCACTCAATTCTCCACGAATCTTTTTACTATACATTTAAATTGTGTGTCATTCAACTTTCGAGTTCTGTGGGTCCTCTTCATTATTTACCCTCTGCCTTCTGATTTCACCTCTCAATTCCACTGGTGGACTTACATCCCCTTGTTCATAGAGCAAACTCAATATAAACCAGCTTCGGCATTTCCTTCTAGAGTGACTTCCCTCTTGTCCTTCTTTATTCTCTGAGTGACAAACCCTGAGAAAATTACCATCCTGGGCTTCTCCATTGCCTGTATTTCCTGTGATGGGATTGTTGCCTCTGTGTTGTAGCAAAAACAACTTACCTGCCATATAGCTTGGGACAATTCTCAGCCACTATCAGGGATATTAAAAAACTCCAATTCAAAGGTTCTTAATTTAGCTTTGAGATTCTTCAGTTGTTGGTTCCATTCTGAACTTGAGATTCTAATTTCCCATCTGTTCCTAGTACCTGTCTAGACATTTTTTTTTTTTTGAAGGGGGTGTGTGGTCCTGGGGATTGACCACTGAGCTGTATCTCCAGCCCTTTTCATTTTGAGACAGGGTCTTGCTTAGTTGCCCAGTCTGGCCTTGAACTTGTGATCCTCTTGCCTCAGCCTCCTGAGTAGCTAGGATTATATAGGTGTGTACCACCACATTCAGCCAAAATTCTGTACTTGTAACACGCTCTCAGGTCATGTCCATACTGATGACTCACAGACCACATTTTGGGTAGCAAGAGCCCATAGCATCAAACTCTTAAATATGTTTTCTTATTTACCATCTTTCTCAGCAGGAAGACCAGAACAGGTGCTGTCATGTTGTCAGAATCATTGAATCACACACTGCCTACATCACTGGTCCCCAGTATAACATAGTGCTGGAATTCCCTGGAGACCTAATGAAAAATACTGATTTGGAGGTTCTATCCCTGGAGATTCCAACTCAGTAGATCTGGGCTAGGATCCCAGAGTTTATATATTTATAAAGCACCTCAATAAATCTTAATGAATATTTTTTTAAAAGAACTGTATCTTATAAGATAAACTTTAACCTAAAACCTTAAATGCAGTCTTACCCAACAGATCCAAGATCTTTTATTTCTCATTTTCACTCCCTTCCAAACCTTTGTTACAGGGAGACTGTCTCTCAAGCAGATTCAGAGCATACCCTTTTCTTTCTTGTGGCTCTACTTTCAAATTCTACCCACTCTATAATTAATCATACCCAATTAATGCACATTTTTTGCTTCACCAAGTTAGTGGGAAGAGACTTCGTTTCTCCTCTCTTCCGTCCCATTAAATCTACCCATCCTCCTTAACTTTATCAAGTCACCACCCCATCCCCATATTAAGTCTCACAGAAAATCTGCTTTTCTGGGAAAATGGAAAATGTGATTCTATTGGCTGAAATAAAAGTGTATCCGGTCCCCAACACGTAAGAAAAGATGCTGAGTCACCCTCCAATTCAATTCAGAAACCGGAATCCCTGAGGACAGGGACTCTTATTCTATTTGTTTCATGTCATTTTCACAAGTCACAGGCTTTCTCATAACTTGTCACTAAATACAAAGCTAAGCAAAGGTCAGAGTATGTTTGGTGTTCTGCAGGAAGGTGACACATAATGGTAGGGATGGAAAGAATCAGTATAGCTAATTAGTGGAAATGACATTGAAATTTTCTAATTAGCCTTTTAAAACATCTTTGATCTCAGAAAATATGAGGTGTCAAACTTCAATATACCCTTCACTCCTAAAATGCCATTAGAACATTCTATAGTGCTGTGGAACACAGAATCCTAACACCAGCTGTGAGGAATCAACATCGATCAGCATCTGCTTAACTTACATGGGAAGAAACAATAATTGCCCAATTGGATTTAAGAACCGAGGCTGACTCAACACACAAAGGTAGCTAAAGAAATAAAGAGAAACAGTTTCCAGAAAAAGTCTTTGTGAACCAAAACTCTATACCAAACTTCTTAATAAGAATGCAGGATCTGGACTGGGGTTGTGGCTCTGTGGTAGAGCGCTCGCCTGGCACGTGTGAGGCCCTGGGTTCGATCCTCGGCACCACATAAAAATAAATAAAATAAAGGTATTGTGTCCAACTACAACTAAAAAATAAGCATTTAAAAAAATGCAGGATCCATCACCATCTCAATTTCCAAACATTGACTCAACCTTTGAGATCAATTATCACCTTTCCTGAAGAAAACATAGGTACTGCATTCTAGAAAGGGCATGGGGTTCATGAGCTGCTGGTGTACATATCATCACATTATTTTTCTCAGCCTCCAATGCAGTGTCTGGCAACTGTAGATGATGAAAAAAATTTTTTCAAATGAATAGAGGAGTTGTTGATTCACTAGTATAAATAGAACCCCTTGCTTGTTGATCTGAGAGCAATTACTCTTCTGACCTTTTCCAAAATAAACTGTTTCCCCTCAATCCCAAAGTAATAATTGCAGTAATAATAATAAGCAGCTAATATTAATTGCCAGCTGTATGACTTAATACAGCTCAATTATTATTACTATGGACCAAATGCTATTCTTTTTTTTTTTTTAATATACTGGAGCTTGAACTGAGAGGTGTTTTACCACTGACGTACACCCCCAGTCCTTTAGTACTTTTAATTTTTTATTATTATTTTTGAGACAGAGTCTTGCTAAGTTGCTGAGGCTGGCCTTGAACTTGTGATCCTCCTTCCTCAGCTTCTGAGTTGCTGGGATTAGAGGCGTGCACCACTACACCCTGTACTATTCTATCTTAACAGGAATCATTTCATTTAGCTTCACAAATTATCCCCACCCTACAAATGAGAAACCTGAACCTTAAGATACTAACTTACCAAAGGTAGTAAATGAGAGACCCAGGATTGAAGCAGGAGTCCACGTACTGTATCGTTAAGTCATACAGCTGGCAACTGATTGACACCAATAGGCTCATGGTTATTGACTCATTGCTAATGATGGAGCTCCACTGAGAATCTTCTACCTCCAGCCAGGTAGCATCAGTCTTCCTACTGTTGGCTAAAAGGAATATTTCATATTTACAGAAGAAGCATGGCAGCCATCTTGCTGTTGTAACCTGCCACCAGAAATATTCATGACAATACTCTTGGAAGCTTTCTGGTGGGCCCTGGCAGGGTAACAAGTACAAGTTTCTTTATTTCTAATGGGTCCTGGAAAATGAGACCTCCGTAGCTTTCTATCATGTACCTGGAAGAACTGGCTTCACATAAGTCTTGAAGATATACTCTTACGATATATTTATAAGTTGTTGGCTAAGGGCCTAAGTCTGATTCTGATAGTATTTCCTTAATGAAATCTTTCCTACCATTCTTTTAACTCTTACTTATTTCTTTCCACTACCCTATCCTCCCCCCCCCCCCAATTCCTTGGGAGAATCTGTAAATCTTTTATAGTTCTTTATTTCCCACTCAGGGCTTAAGAGGAAGTTTGCTATAAAACGTAGCAAGCATGCAATAAAAAAAATGCAAATAGCTACATCAAAATGCCAATTCATATAATTTTTAGATCACATGAGGGGGGAAAAAAACCCCACAATTTTCTGGAAAAGACTATTGATCTTTGAGAGTTAAGGATACAGCTGGCGCCCCGGTAGAGGGAACAGGAAGGACTTGGCAAATCGCCAGGAAAGAGCATGTGTGCATTGTGCTTTTGGTCTTCCTAGATGTCTGTCTTTGGAGGTTCAAGGTATGAGTCCTGTGTGCGTTTCTCAGTAGCAGTCCCCTTTGCAAGAAGGCTGAGCTGGACAGCTCACGCCAGACGCCCCGTGCATCTCTGGGATTTGAATTCACAGACCTCCTTTTAGAGCAACCCTAACATGCCATTCTAATGTATCAGAAAAGTGGGGGGAAATGGGCTACGAATCCCATCTGAGTTCATGGAGATAGTGTGGGAAATATTTCCAACGTTTTTGCAAAGTGCCAGCAACGTTCATTAAGCACCTACCACAGGTTCTGCGTGCTTAAAAGAGAAGCCAAAGGTATCTGTTAAGCCACGTAGGAACTGCGGTTTGCTGGTTGGTTCTCATTTGGAGAGAGCGGGCGGCTGGGCAGTGATCGCAGTGTCCAGTAGGGGGCTGGCATTCTCTGTCTATACGTGGTCGGGTTCCTCTTCAGAGCCTCCGCTCAGGAGAGCTGCTGTTTGCTGGTGAAGCCGGTGACGTGCAAAGCATCCTGCCTATAGGATTTGAGACTTTCCCAGTGCAGTTTTTTTCTACCCACTTTAAACCTTCAGGTTCTAAATATCAGGAAAGACAGGAAATGCAGTGTGAAAACAGCAGGCCAAAAGTTCTTGATTAACTGTAGCCGGGGAGTCTCAGACTAGGATGGAGATAGATAGAGCTGAGACAGAGTGGGCTTCATGCTAAGCCTTTCTTTGGACTGAGTTTTTGTTGTTAACTTGTTTGATTGAGGTGTACTGCACTGGTTACGAAAAGGCCAGAGCAGTTCCAGCATCAAAATAGTGACAGCTTTGAATACCATAGTAATCTACACACTTAGGGAATTTTTATTAAAGAAGATAAAGAGGCCAGACTAGATCTCATCCTCATCTTCACCTTACTGCAACATCAAAAGTTAAGAAACAGAATCTTCAGGGCACTTTTAGGTGAGAAGAAGTCTAGAGATGGATCCAAACAATTGTTTACTTCTGAACTTGAAAGTGGACAATTTCACAAACTGCAATGCCTCCAGTAACAGCATGGATCTCCCTGTGAATGACGACTGGTTCCACCCGGGGATCCTGTATGTCATCCCCGCAATTTATGGGGTTATCATCCTGATAGGCCTCATTGGCAACATCACTCTGATCAAGATCTTCTGTACAGTCAAGTCCATGAGAAATGTGCCGAACCTGTTCATCTCCAGTCTGGCTTTGGGAGACCTGCTCCTCCTGGTAACGTGTGCTCCTGTTGATGCCAGCAGGTACCTGGCTGACAGATGGCTATTTGGCAGGATTGGCTGCAAGCTGATCCCCTTTATACAGCTAACCTCGGTCGGGGTGTCTGTCTTCACACTCACGGCACTGTCGGCAGACAGGTAAGCAGACTGGCTGAAAGTTGCATGCTGTCCTGGGGTGGTAGATGTTTCAGGAAACAACTCCCATGTCATGACAGACAGAGCTGTGTGCACAACAGGAAGTTTTATTCAAACTCAGATTCCCTGCCAGGTATGTTTTTGCTCTGGGAATTACTTCTTGAGTTTGACATGTTGGTTTAAGAAAGAAAAGTGAGTGAATAGAGAGACAGGACACAAACGAGGGCGGAGGGAAATTTGTGAGCATTAAGACTGAGGTGCATTTTCTGGAGACCAGTCATTACCTTTTCCTAATTTCTCCCTTCCTGCAGAATTAATTGGCCAGTGAGAAAGATGATCACGCCCCATAGTTTCAACCTCAGGTGAATGTTTTCTTAGTAGCAATTGAAAAACTTCAGAGAACAGAAAAATCTCAGGGTACTTCGTCAAAATATTCTTTCAGAAATAACGAAGAGGAGAAAATAAGGCTCATTTCTTTGAAATTTATTTTCCTCAGACAGTTTAACTTTTCTCACAGCTGATTTTGTATTTGGCTTTCTGTGACTGAAGAGTTGTGTGCTGCTTTTTCTAAGTCTCTTTTCAATGGAATTGAACAGTATTGGTTTTCTTGTTTTTTTCCTTCTGGATAAAGATCTATTCAAGGCTGACTCCTAATTTTAAAATCTTTATTGATATGCACTCTCCTTGGGGTTTTTCAGGGGTGAGGGATGAAGAGGGAGTCCAGCATAGGGTTTTATTCTAGGAAATAGATATATTCATGGATGGTATTGCTTGTGTGATCATACTGCATAAAAAATTTACATTTCTTCCCTCTTGAAAAAATTCATTTTCATTCTTGAACATTTATCAAACATCTATCTTGCTAAAACAAAAAATACTTGCTTGAATTCACAACTCAGGAAATACCTGCAGGTTGTTCACACAAATTGCTGAACATGTCTTATGTATTCCTGGCTTCTGAAAATCAGACATGGCATAAACTAAATGGTCAAACTCAGAAAAACTGATACAGTGAATCAGACTATATAGTTTTATCTTAAAATCAACTTTATGTTATATGTTAAAGAAACCCTAGGACTTGAGAGTATACCAGAAAAGGTGTGGAAACTGCCTTTAAAAGTTTATACTCTGAAAAAAAAATGTCCCACATTTTAATACATGTGGCACTGGATTCTCATTTTGTAGAGGAACAAACAGTCCTCAGGTGAGCTAGCTTTGTTGAATAATGGGCAAATAAAGATAGTGTTATCAGTGTTTGTAGACATGTGTTTATACTTAGCTGCCTGAAGTATGCTGCTCAGCACATTTTCAAAGACTGAAAAAGTAATGGCCCAGTAATGAGGGCCTTGCGCCTACTCTCTCACTTACCTTCACCTTATTCTTACCCTGCACAATTGCACATCAGGTACTAATGGCCACAGACAGTTTCAGGGTAAATTCAGAGCCGGCAAACTTTGTAGCTGGCAGAAACTGTGTGGCTGGTTACCCATGGCCAGGAGCACTTCAGGATGAGGGTAATTTTCTTGATGGGAAAAAGAGATTTTGGTTTCCAGGTTGCTGAATGCAGTGGTACAGATGGTGTTTGCTGTCTTCCGGGGGAGGGAAACTGAGAGGAAAGTGGGGGCACAGAATGCAAAGATGCAGCTGCAGGGACCTCTTCCCCCGAGTTTCAAAGCAGACTGGGCTCACCATCAGCAGAATGAGAAAGCTCTTTCGGAAGCACATGCCGGCAGCTGCAGTGTGTCCTCAGTCAGTTTACAGTTACTATGTGTCCTTTCCAAGCTCAGAAGTGACTGTGAGCTCCCATGCAACCAACTTTGTATGTTTTGCTGAACTTAAGAAAGCTGTTGGGTCACCTGGATCACAGGTAGTACATGTAACTGACTTCAAGGAGAAGAATAATTATTGAACTTTTTAAAGAATAGCAGACTCTACTTGTCTATTTCAAAAAGCTATGGGATTCTTTTAGTACCAAGGATTGAACCTAGGCTGCTTAACCACTTAGCCCTTTTAATTTTTGATTTTGAGTCAGGGTCTTACTAAGTTGCCGGAACTGGCCTTGAACTTGTGATCCTTCTGCCTCAGCCTTCTGAGTCTTGGGATACATGCATGCACCACTGCACCCAACAAGCTGTGGGGTTCTTATTACAACCTTGTGAGGTTGACAGTGCAAATTCTGTATCTTTTCTTTTCCACAAGGTGTGATCTATATACACAGTAAACTCAACAAGTTGAAAGCTTGATACATTTTTACATGTCTATATATCTGCATAACCACTATCCGATTGAGATATAGAAGAGTTCAGGACCCCTAGAGTGTCTCTTAGGCCCTTCCTGGTTAATCATTAGATTATTTGTGCCAATTCTTTAATCTCATATAAATGGAATTGTGTAGTGACTATTCCTTTGTGTCTGGCTTCTTATGCTTATCATTATTTCTGTATTTATTCTTATTGGTGCATGTAACAGTGGCTTGTTCTCTTTAATTGTGTGTAGGTTTCCATGGGATGAATATACATCAAAATTTTTTTTCCATTCTAATACTGATGGATACAGGGTTGTTTCTGGTTTGGGATTATAATAATCTGGATATTCTTATGTATGCCTTTTGGGGGACACAAGAGTATATGTCTGGGTGTGTAATGCTGGATCCTAGAGACATGCATTTAGTAAACATTGTCAGTTTTCCAAAGTGGTAGTCTATATTTGATAGATTGGTAAAGGGGTAAATCAGAATATCCTTCACACTAGATGATCACGAGAATCATAGGGGCACTTTAAAACCCTATAAATTCCTAAATCTACCGAATCAGGGTTTCTGAGGACCTGTAGTGATCACATCCAACCCTGCCCTCTATAGATTGGCAGTCAATGCCAGTTCTCCCCTTCCCCAGGTCAACCTGAGTCTTTGTCAGGATGAGAACAGCATTTTTCTAGAAAAGTTTATGTCATTGTCCCTGTGTCAAAGGGAGACTTCAGAAATTGCAATTCTGGGATTTGCATAACTGATTAATTGCAGGTTTGCAAGCCCCTTTAATATTTTCCCCTCCCCTGTTTTCTGCTCTTACACACAGAAAACATCCTCAGAGACATGGCTTCACTGATTCATTTCAGAACACTTTCTCCTTTCCTAACTATAAGACTCTACTCCCCATCCCATGTGGTATATGGGCTTAGATGAGCATCAACAGATCTGCATTTTAGACATTTTTCTGCCACTACTATCCAGATGAGGAAATGGGAACAAGTCACTTAACTCTCTGGCCTTAGTTGAATCAGCCATAAAATGATGGATTTGAATTAGATTATTTCTATGATCCCTTCTAATTCCAAAATCTTATGATTTATATCTGTCATTTTGCTTCCTTCAGAATTTGGCTTAAGCTTTCTCCTTAAAGCCCTATGTTGGCTCATTCTATCCCAAATTTCCTCACCCTTCCCTAAATATGACACTTATTATCTGAGACACAAATCATCTTGTGACATGTTTTATCTTGCTGTTTTGAAGCATTTCACTTTATCTTTTAAAAAATTCTCTCATATATTCATTGCTTTAAAATTTTAGGTAGATTATTAAAAATGTTGAGGGCAGAGATTTCTTATATAGTTCATTATACAATTCAGTGTCATGGTCATGCAAGCCATGTGTGAAATGGTTGGCAGCCACACGGGCTAGTGGCCACTCTATTGGACAGCACAAATTCAGAACATCCCCATCAGAAAGTTCTACCGGACAGGGCAGAAGAGAGTTTACTCTGTGCCTTGAGTTCCAAATCTCTTTCCCAGGATCTATGTTTGCTGCTCTGTCTCATAGAGCACAGGAGGAATTCCTCAACTATCAATGCCTCCCAGTAGCTCAGGCTCCTCTTGTCTGTTAAAGACCTTCTATTGAAGACTCCCACACAGGAAGAGGGAAGAAATCAAGGAGCCCAATACCATCTCCAACCACAGACTTGGGGAATTTGGGCATCCCATTGATGAGGTTTTGAGACTTACTGAAGAATACATGAGAAAGGGTCCACTTTCCAGGTCTTCTTTCTGATATTTCCATTCTCTTTTGCTGACCCTCTTCCATCTATTATCCCCTTGTCCCAGAACTTGCCAGAATAGACACTGAGCTATCCAAACTCCTCTTACTGTCTCCCATACGCACTTCCAGACTTCTCCGGTCTCTGACCTCTTTTTCCCCTCCCTGATGGGTTAGGCCCTACTCTTTCCATCTCCCCAAATCTTATCAATCTGTCAAGGCATGGTTCTTCTATTTTTTTCTTTCATTGATTTTTTCCTTTTCCCAAGATACTATTACCTATATTGTTCATTAGTTATCAAATCTATCCTGCTTGGTACCACTATGTCCCTTTTACAGGTGTGTTTTCTACTTCCTTAATCATAAGGGAAGCTCCATGGAGTCTGTCTTCAGGGATACCCTGACTCACCCTACTTAAAATACAAGTGCCATTAGCTATGGCTTGATTGATGTTTGAGCAGTGACAAAATGGTAAAAAATCCACCAGCTAGAAGTAGAAGTCATCTTAAAGTTCAAACCTTTGTTTGACACAGACATCAAAAGAGGTGGCAGGAATTTAACCCTCACCGCAAAATCAGAGGCAAGACAAACTAGAACATTCCTCTTCTCATTCCTTCAGAGGAACCCCAAACTTTTCTTCAGAAGCTATCAAAACAAAGTCTGCTTCAATTTCTCTGCTCTGGACAATGGGAGCTACAGACTCCAAAGCAGGCTGTTCTGAAACCCTAAGGGACTTCCGGGTGATTCTCCTCAGAAGGAGTCACCCCATGATTTAAAAGGTTCCTTTACTGTAATTCCAGCTTCATTGATTCCAAAGAGATTGGCCCTTTTCTTCCAAGAGAAGATGTATTCTCATTTCTTATAGAGCATCCTTCCAAAATGTTCCTCAGCTGGAACAGTTTACATGAGCTGCCAGGTTATAACTTCTCTAAAGTTTGATTTTTCTGAGGCTTCGGTTGACTCTCTGGAAGGAAAT